ATTTCATACTCATCAGGAATGCTACTCAGTGACCATGTAATTTGAAAGCAAAAAATAAATACCTTTAGAAAGCCTAATTTGTCACATTAGGAAAGAACACCACCCTTTGGGAGGTGAAGTTTGGGCTATTGGGGAAGTTCTAGCCATTAGCCTGAGAATTGACTAATAAAGCTCTCTGTCTTGATTTTCTACATAACTGCAAAACTATCTTCAAGGGCAATTTTTCAAAATGACCAATATAGCTTCATAAGCTGTATTTTAAGCATATTTTGAATAAAAAAGAAAAGTTATCAAGAAGAACGTATTTGAATATTCAGCACTGAGATGTTTGCTTTTCAATATTAAGCTAATAACTCCTGTAAATCAGGCAGAAGTGGGGGTGAGGTAATCATTAGCTTAATGATGCAATGCTTATTAGCTTAACCTCTGCCAAATAGGCTGTGGAATATAAACCAGGAGGGTTGCCAAGGCAATATAACTTCCAGAAAGAAATTCAAAGAGGGATAATAGTGACTAACTTATAATGGACCATTGGTCTCTCCAGTAAGGGGGAAAAAAAAGGCACAGGCAGAATGCTTAAAAGTAACCAAACCACTTAACCCGGAAAAGAAGGTAAAATTCCTATTCACTTATTCATAAATACTGGGAAAGCACCTGTTTAAAAGGCAGGGTTATGCTGGGTACAGTGGCACACACCTGTGATGCCATCCATTCTGGAGGCTGAGATAGGAGGATCACAAGTTCAAAGACAGCCTCAGAAAAATTGAGGTGCTAAGCACCTCAGTGAGACCCTGTCTCTAACTAAAATACAAAATAGGGCTGGGGATGTGGCTCAGTGGTGGAGTGCCCCTGAGTTCAATCCCCAGTACCAAAAAAAAAAAAAAAAGGCAGTATTATTTCACAGGGAAATTATGTTTCTCTCAAGTAGGGCTATCTAATAGAAAAGTAATGCAAATCTGGGTGATATTTTTATTTATTTATTTATTTTTTAAAGAGAGAGAGAGAGAATTTCTAATATTTATTTTTCAGTTTTTCGGTGGACACATCTTTGTATGTGGTGCTGAGGATCGAACCCAGGCCGCACGCATGCCAGGCGAGCTCGCTACCACTTGAGCCACATCCCCAGCCCTGTGTGATATTTTCAAATTTTAGAATAGCAACATTATAAAGGGAAAAACAGGTAAAATACTTTATTTGGCCTAAAAAGCCAAAATATTATGTAATCAATATTGATTTTTAAATATTTAATATGTAATCAATACCTTAAAATTTAGTAAGATGCTTTCTTTTTAGTTTCTTTTTGAAATCTAGTGTGAAACTTACTGCACTCCTCATTGCAAATATTTTATGTGCTCAGTAGTCAACTGTAGCTAGAGATTACTTTATTGGACATTATAACTGTGAAACTTCAGACTCTATTATCCAGGTAAGTGTGTGTGTGTGTGTGTGTGTGTGTGTGTGTGTGAGAGAGAGAGAGAGAGAGAGAGAGAGAGAGAGAGAGAGAGAGAGAGATAATGTTATTACTGATAACCCTGAAGTAATGAAAGATTTAGATTATCTTTTGAATAATCAAATAAAGATCATCTTTTTGGTATAATTTGATAATCACATATTTTATTATGTTCTAATTCTTTAAATATGGGTAGTCCATGGATAGACCATGCTGAACTCTATTAATGGTGTCATTATTTGTAATTCCCTGATTCAGGAACAGCTGTGATCAAAGTTTCCTTTAAACAAAACTCAAGGAGGATGCAGAGTGCCTGAGTGGAAAAGTAAGTGGACATTGGAAATCATTACAGCCTCCTGGGACACAGTTTCCAGGAGCTAGACCAGACTTGGACCCTCCTGATAGGCAGACCACTTTGCTTTGGTTCATTGAAGGAAGCACCAAGGAAGTGAGAGAACAGGACTCTCTCTTTGGGTAGCCAAGGAGGAGGAAGGTGGCTGATCACACACAAGAAGAAAAGCACACTGTGGTCCAATCCAGGAAACTCTTCTGATATCACCTCTGTAATAAATTCACTTTGCCAAAAGAGTGGCAAACATCTCCCATCCTGAGCATTTTAGATAAATGGTCATTGCTGCTCAATTGAAATTATGACTACAGTGAATATGGCTTCATATGCAATATCATCCACAGAGATAGGGCAACATGGTAGGGCTAATGACCTTCTCTTTTGAGGAGTCTATCTGAGTCAGCTACTGATCTAACATGCTGCAGAGACTTGGAGAAGGGTTCATATGGACATTTTGAATGCACATGAGATGGTCACTATTTTAAGAGACCCTGCACTCTTAGATTCTTAATAACAAGTTATTCCAAATGAAAGAGGATATTTCATTGACATAACATTCATAATCCAATCTTTAGCTATCATAACATTTTTGATGAGCTGTTATATTTCAGCTATTACCTTTTAATTTATAATTTTTAAATTTTTTAAACTTTTGGTTTAGTTTATTCATTCATCCTCTTAACTTCAACATACTTACTACAGATAACTTACAGATAAAGATTTGAGTAGGGGATAGAACTAAAAAAAAAACACATATTTTTGAATGTTTACTAAGTGTCAGGTATTGAGCCTTAGCTCAGTACTAATTTCATAGTTTTCCAAATATTACACTCTTCCACATGAGACAATTGAAGCAATCTTCTATGGAAGATTCTGTGTGTATGTGTACAGTGTGCATTTTCCCCCTCTCTTATATATGTGTGTATATAGATACTTCTTCTGAATTTGTTTTGAATAGTGTTTCTTTCGATCAACAACATGTATTGTTCAAAATGCTACATGCAAAATAACTTCAGCCAACTTTTTTTTATTATTATTATTTTTTTAGAGAGAGAGAGAGAGAGAAGAGAGAGAGAGAGAATTTTAAATTTTTTTTTTTTTTTTAGTTTTAGGTGGACACAACATCTTTGTTTGTATGTGGTGCTGAGGATCGAACCCAGGCCACGCGCATGGCAGGCGAGTGCGCTACCGCTTGAGCCACATCCCCAGCCCCTAACTTCAGTCAACTTTTACAAGTATTCAAAGCTATTCATGTTTTAACCAGTTAACTAACTAGCAATCTTGTATTCTTTTTGCCTTTTATCTCAGTAAATACATTTTTATTGACCAAAATTTTCAAAGACAAAAATATCACTTTGGCTTATCATTTCTAATTCTTTTACTCATCCATCAAGTTGATGACATTCAAACTTTCAATTTACCTTTAATCATCCATCCAATAAATCTTTATTTAATTTATGTTTATCACATATTTACCATGTTCACATTTTCTGAGGTTATTTCTATAGTCAATCACTATACTCTACATGCCCAATGAAGTTAAGTTTTCCTTCAATTGACAGCCATTTTTAAAATTATATAATATATGACATGAGCTTTCCAGTTAAACACAGACATCCAGAAATAGGCTCAGTCCCCTTCCAGAAAGGAAGTAGGTGCTAAATACCAGTAGTTATAATGTCATGGATCCAGAAACTGGCAGGACAGCAGAACAGAAATTGTTCCCTTACAGACCTTGTCAAGATCCCCTGGCAGATCAAGGTTGTATGCTTCACTCCCTAATTCTTCATCCCACAGCTCATTAGCAAATTATGTTTTGCAAAATAATTCCAAATATATAAGTCTGTGAATGTTTTTTATATCTCTTGTCTGCTCATTGAGGTGGACCATGCTTAACAAAAGGCTAGGGTCTGTTATACATGTTTACTGCCAACTCCTGGGCTTTTATGGGTGCTGAGTTAAAAGCAAGAATTCCATTATGTCCATGCACTGTTTGAATTCATCTGAATGAAGGAAGCCAGGTTTACACTTTGAGAAAAAGTGAAGACCACTATAAAAAGTTAAAGATTCAATAACTAGCTAATCTCAAAAGTCCATTTATAGCACAGATAAATATGAGAAAATACCAGTTGTGAACTTTTATGCACCACTTACAGATGATCCATCAGTTCAGCACACAAAATACTGGATACTTCATTTAGTTTAATTTGCACTGAAGATGCATACATGGGATGAAAATGCTTAGACTTGTGCCTAAGCAGGCAGGACTTTGGCTTGAGGGCTCCCACCTACCACTCTCTAGGTTAGTAACTTCAGAAAAAGTACTTGTAACTCTCTGAGTCAGAGCCCTCAGATGTAAATTAGAAGCAATAGCAACTATATCTCACGATTGATTGGAGGTGGGGTAAGCAACTACAGCAGTATAAGAGTTAGGAACAAGATATGTCTAAATTAATATTAGTTCCCTTTTCTTTCTCCATGCACTAACGTGCAGTAAATGTGCTTTTGTCTTTGAAAAATGAAACTTCTCCCCTCCACCCATCTGTACACATTTTTTTTAAGTGGTCACAAACTTAAGACATTAAGAAATGACTGCAAAAAAATATATATCTATGTAATATGAGAGTTTTGGGAGAGAAAAATTCCTCTCCAAATTAATGCTAAACCTCATGCAAACTATATTAACAAATGCAGATGCCAATTTTCCCTTGCGACCTTCTTTCACATGGTATATTCTAAGTAAAACTATATAGCTTTCTTTAAAAAGTCCTTAGGCTAAAAGGCAGGACATGGGATCAATGCCAACTACTATTCCTGACCTGCCCCTTAGCCTGTTCTTTAACATAGTTGATAGGTCAAAGATGGAAATAAAATCTTAAGTTTTGACTTAGTTGGATCCTGTTCTTGCCTAATATGTGGAGAGACTTTAAAACATGCTTTACAACGAGGGAGGAAGAGATAGTTAAGAAACATTCCCCAACAGAGTCTATCTTAGTACTTTTGTCATCAGCAAGAAAAAAAAAAAGGAGAAAAATATTGACAGAAAGAAGGCAACCACTTCTATATTAAGAAAGAAGGGTGGTATGCAGTTAAAACTGAAAATTAGAAGTAATGGGCATCTCCACTTCGGCCAGGATTTGCCCTACAGTGGGGTCTATAAGGGAAAGAGGTCACTAACTCCTAGTCCCAGACCCAACTCACCCAGCTGGAGCTGTTCGCAAGTCCGGTTTGGATTCTTTCCGATCTTGCATCTGTAAATCGCCCCGGGTTTGACCACAGACGAATTGGCAAGCCAGTTGGCAGTGGGCGCCCCCACGACGAGCCTAAAGTGAGAACCGTGCACGTGCGCTGAGACATGAGCGGGGCTACCTACCCAACTCCAGCTTTCAGCGGCGGTGCAGTACATAGTGGGGCAGTTTCCCCGCCTCCTCCGCCCACCACCCAGCTCAAGGGGCCAGACACCCCCCGACCCGCGGCTTCAGGGCCTGGAACCACAACGCCACCACGGGCGCTGCCACCCCAAGATAAGTTTTCCCCGGCAGATCTCCAGCAAGCTGGCGGGAGCCGCGCTCGCTTCTTGCCTACTCCAGAAGGGAGGAAAGTTTGAACTGGGGAACTGGACAGACTCTCCCGGGGTGCCCCCTTTCTCTTGCCACTCTTAGATGCTGAGGGCGCTGGAATCCTTCCTACTCCACTCACCAGCGGTTCGCCCCGTGACTGTGCAGCACCACTGAGTAGCCGAACAGCGTGCCGGGGGGTCCCTGGTAAAGCAAGGCGCTCTCAGTGTCTACGTTGTAGGGGTGGCCGGTCCGGACCCCCAGGCACAGCAATAGCATCACCGCTTCCCCGACGGCGGCCCCTCGGGGACCGGGTCCGCGCCTCGCTTCCGCAGCCATGCGCTCTCGGTGGGGAACATTCAACACCAAACGGCCACTTCACCGAAGTTGCACTGGATGCGACGGTTGGCCCAAGCGAAGAGCGCCCCAAGAGATGAAGCACAGCGTGTCCGGAGCCGGCAGGCGAGAGGGAAGGAGGGACAGCCACACAGAGGGAGGGAGAGGGAGTTGGCCAGCCACAGGCGGGGTGATCAAGGGCGCCGTGGGATGCCGCGCGCCCTCCGGGCCCCACGCCCGGTTTCTGAGGCCTGGAGGTGCGGGTGCTTGAGCGGTCCTGGGGCGCAGGCCTCTGGGTGGGGTCCTGGGCGTGGTGTGGAGGCGCAGGGTCTGGCTCTGTCTCCCCCCACGTGCAGCTGTAGGGGGCGCTGGGGGACCTTGGCTACGCAGGACGCGCGTCCTGGCCTGGGCCTTCCAGCCCACAAAGCGCGGGATGGCCGGGGGCCTCCTGAGGCTTTGCAAAGAGGGACCTGGAGGTGACACAGGGCTTCTCAATTTAACAGTGGTTGGGACCTGCGTGCGGCGCCAAGTGGCTCCGACCGGTGCACGCCCCTATTGTGAACTCTCAGCCTCCGCGGCCAGCCTCAAACCCGGAGCCTGGGACTACAACCAGGAACCCGCAGATCTTTCTTTGATAGTTCAGTGCTGTATCGCCACCCCCCCCCCACCACCACCACCCGAGAAATTACCCAATGGGCTATAAATTCAAAGCAAAATAATAACAAAAAAGAACTCCCTGAGGGGGACTGGGGAACTCTATGGCGGCAAAGACGTTATGGCTTGTCTCTTCAAAACTCACAGCCCTGCACCCTTTGATGCCCACTTCCTTCCTCCCCACACTTCCTTTTAATCCCCGTTTGAGTGAGCAGGCGAAGCAGCAGCTTCAATCTAAATAGCAGCAGCAGCTCGTGCCGTTGCTGACCCCAATTGAGAGGCTGGGTTGAGGAACCGCTGTGAATAGCCTCACTTTAACAGATTCCACCCCCTGCTTCTCCATGATCTCTTCACAACCATGCAGTTGCCAAGAAACACACAAGCCATTAGGGGTGTAGACCTAGTGTGAGGTCAAGGTCATAATGAACCTCCGAGAATCCGCTGTAGACCCATAAAACAACACACCTGTATGGGATGAGAATTCTCATCCTAACGCAATCCAGATGTGCCTTGAGTTGCCTGCCCGACCAACCAGAGACAGACATAGGTGGTTACTTAGGCTGATATTTGCAGGAGGGGCAGGTCCCGTCATTCACTGTTGCTACATGAAAAAAAAAAAAGCAAATGAAGAAAGAAGAGGCTTCGTCAAAGGGTTTGTCTGCAAGTAAAACTATACTGAAATAGCACATCTTAAGTTGTGATGGCAGACACACAAGTAAATCACCTGCTGGCTGATTCAGTATATTTCATTGGACACTTTGCTGGACCCTCAGGATTCCCACATGAACAGGGTAGGACTTTCCTGTTTCCTTTAAGATTTTCAGTCAAACATAGGCAAACTTTTACTAGCCAGAGAAAGTTCAGATGTGTTAAGGACGCTTGCAGAGAGAGTTGAAGGACAAAGAGGCTTGAGTCAGGTTTTGTTAGGAGGACAAGGGAGGGCTCCAGTCTGGCCAGGCAGAGCAACTGAGGAGAGTTTGCTGGCTGGAGCATTTAGCTGCCCCCACACAAGTTTAGTTCTGTGAGACTGACTAGGGTTCAGGTACACTTGTTGAACTCCACAAGGCAGGTTAGGAACTTTAACCTCTGTGGTGGGGCTGAGAGGAAGCTGTGGAAGGATTTGTCTTAGTCAGCTTTGAATTTCAGACATTTGAAAGCAAGACTGAATAGGAGGCCCACTTGGACAATTTAAGGAGATCCTGTCTACAAATTAAAAACAACAGCAGCAATTACAAAAAAGGCTGGGTGTGCAGCATGAGCACTTGCTTAACATGCTTGATTTTGAAGACTTCTAGAGCAATGAATCAGGGCAGAGGTGGCTTAAACTGAAGTAGCTGGAAGGACAGAGGGGGGAAAAACAGATTCAAGAGGTATCTGAGAGAAATCAATAGAACTTGGTAGCATCATTGATTAATGAGTATGAGGTTGAGATGAAGAAGTCAGGAAGAAGCCAAAGGTTTGGATTTGGAAAGTAAGTGTGTGGTGCTACCATTCAAGAAGAAAAAACCATATTGGAATAAAAACCTCAAGATGTGTATGCATACACACTGTTGGGGGGACACTGTTGGATTCAACTTTAGATATGCAGAGTTTGAGATGTTTGTGAAGTATTAGGATATTCTGGCCAGACCCAACCCAATTATTTTTACTCTTAAAAAAAAACCCCACAAGAGGAATATTAACTTTCTCTTATTATTTGCAACAAAGGAAAGGCTAATAATGGTATGTGGTGAATCTACTATTAAAATGAAGTGGCTTCCAGAAAGCCACTGGTCCTGCTCTCTTTGTGCAGTAGTACAGTGTGCTTTGTTTTATTTTGTTTCTGAGTAAACATACTTGCTGATTTTAACCCAGTACTATATCTAGATAACATTGTAATTATTCTGTATTGTGTAAGTCTTTATTTTGCAGTCACAGAACCTGCAATTAAGGCTTGGGAAACAAGGATATTAAAACCACTCCCACACCCTCCAGACACCTGTAAAGCCAAAGATGCAGATCTGAGCTCCCACCTCTTTTCTTTTTTTTTTCCTCCTTCTTCACCAAAATCTTAAGCAATAAAACAAGACAAAACCCAGAACAACAGGAAATAAAAACAAAATAACCAAAAGGAAGACTTGGAATAGAAGAAAGTGCAGGGTAGAGGACTGGAGAGTGTACTTGGGTAATGCTAGCTGGGTTCTAGAAATGTCTGAGATACTGGTGGAACATTCATGTAGATATCTAGCAAGTAATGTTTTTAGCTTTTTCTTTGCTATTTATCTTTAAAATACTATGGAAAGCAATTAGAGATTCACAAAAATTTATTATTTTTCTCTGCCTTCCTCTAATCCAAACTTTAAAGGTGTGCACGATAAGCTATCTGATCTAAGTCTTATCTTAAGGTCTGCTCTTAGAGAATCCAAACTAGAACAATTAGGAGATCCCATTGCTCAGAAATAAAGTTCCCAACTAGAAATAAGAACCTCCAGTTCTTTTATCCTGATGATACTATTAGACACTATTCTTATTTGTTTGTATTTATTAACTCATTCAACACATTTAGTGACAGATGCTGTACATAACATGATAAAAAGAGTTGGCATCTTTGTCTTCTTTAGATGTGCATTTCAGTAAGATAACCCAGTGATAAATAATAAATATTTCCAAATCTTAATTTTTGTCATTTTCCAGTACATTGACATATACAAGCAGATATTTTCCCTACACTGCAACTATCCATACATTAGTTCCTTCCTCTGAGGCTCTGAATGGCTCCTCCCCAAATTCAACTCAACCAGTTAAACTTGAATTTCTTGCCTGGGACTTAACACTCTTCAGACTTGACCTCAAAATAATTTTCTACACACCCCAAACACAGCCTACTTTCCTTAATCAAGAAATCACCTCTATCTACACCAATATGTAAGTGTCAAATGCCATGGAGGATGTGCACAAGAGAAATTCAACACATGAAGAGTATTCTTCTGGTTGGGGTGTTTAGGGCAATTTTTCTGCAGTATAAGGACAATGTTGATAAATTTCATTTTTTACCAGTCTTTTCAAAACTCTAGAAGCTATTGATATTTTATAACTTTTTAAACCTAATCTATTTCATGCTTCAGTTCAGAAGCAAAAACAATTGTTCCTCTTGTTACAATGTATGAAGGACTTTGTATAAAGCCATTCTAGTCTCAGAGCACACAGTTATTATGTGACAACATTGTATCTCATAAGTAATCTGACCTGGAAGATTGAATTTATGCACTGGAGTGATTTAACAACTGCTTCTTGCACCATCTCAAAGGTTCAGGAGACACAGGGTTACAACATCATTCTCTTTTATCAGAGGTTAGAATCCATGCAAACATGCTATACAAGTTTTTATCTCAGGTCTTATGTACTCAAGACCCCATCTTTAAACAAAACAGCGTTCCTGGGCAGTTTGGAAAAGAATATGGTATAAAAGGTATAAATTTGGTTGATTGTGGATAAAGTGATATCACACAAGCATTTATGTGTAGATGTCCCATGCACTTTGAAGACACAAAAAGGGTAAAAAACATGATCTTGTTTTTGAATAGCTGGCATTCTAACCAGAGAAGCAACACATACAAATTTGAAACTAGAAAACCATTTCAAAGCTACTTGCAAAATATTTTGTGAATATAGCACAAATTTTACAATATATAGTGGTATTTTCAGAAAATAAATTTAGCTTAATCCTAAATCTTTGTTTCTTCACTCCCACCCCCTATTCTTTTTTCTCTATGCCAGACTGGAAGAATGAGGTTACTCTTTCTGGACCAGATAAGAGATAACAGAACAGGGGAGACCAAAATATCAGCAGTTGAAAGGAAGAATGTAAACAGCAAAATGAGGATATGCCACTTTGTAAGGACAATAGTGGGAAATAAAAGAAATAATTTAATGCACTGCAGTTCCCTAAACTATTTCAGATCAAGCAGAAGCTTTGAAAAGATACTTATAATTTGGATTAGTAAAATATAATGAATATTATTATAAAGGCAAAAAGCAATATCAGCTTTGTCCCATAACTATGCATTGGAAGAGCAGAAAGCTTGAATGTTCTATTTTTGGTGCACATCGTAAATCAGCTTTGTTTATAACAGTTGTATTGTATATTAACCCTGTAAAGTAAATTTCCTCTGTTTACAGAAAGTAAACAAAAACCTTTATTTTTAAAACTGTGTGTTGCTCATAAGGAATTTATTATAATTGTGGACAAGACTAGAAAAAAATAATTTTAGAGATATCTTTTTATCATTAACCAAAAGGTTGATAACACTAATTCAACACCAAAATAATATAAAAATCATCCTTATAGATTGTTAGTGATATTTCTTACTCCTTTCATGATTTACATAAATATCTGCAAGCTTGCTTAAAACCAGTTTTAGAAAGTAAAAAGAGATTCCAGAGATCTGGATTTCTTTGTTATTAAAATGAAGGGTTCACTTAAATTGTCAGTAAAGTTATATCCATTTCCCAATTATTGTTGGTTTCCACAGAAAGTAGGAGAATCCTGCTCTTTCACAGTCTGACATAGGAATCAAGAAGCAACACATAAAAAAATAAAATAAAATAAACAGATGAAGGGCACTCAATTCATTGATAATCTACTCAAAAAAGTGAAATGATGCAATTGTGAGTAGAAAGAAATGAATCTGGAAAGCCAATGTCCAAATGTCTACATCAATGTCTGTAATCAGCTGTGTATCTCTCCCAACCATCCATCTCATGTGCTGGCTTAGTTAAGTATGTGCAAAATAGAAAAGTTTAACTTAGCTTCCCAGAACTGTTGGACAAAACTCTTTCCTGGTGACTCACAATCACCTTTCCTAGGATTCCTTTCCTTATATATTTGCACATTGTGTGGCTTTCTGGTAAATGACAAAAAAAAAAAAAACAAACAAACAAACAAACAAAAAAAAAACAAATTGCTATTGCATAGATCTTGATCTTTACAATTTCAAAAAGCTATTTTACTAAGCTATTTGAAGTAGATACAAAGTTATTAACAATAAAGCTTGAGGGATGGGGATGTGGCTCAAGCAGTAACGCGCTTGCCTGGCATGCGCGGGGCGCTGGGTTCGATCCTCAGCACCACATAAAATTAAAAAAAGATGTTGTGTCCACCGAAAACTGAAAAATAAACATTAAAAAAGTTCTCTCTAAAAAAATAAAAAATCAAGCTTGAGATAAGAGATGCAAAAGGAACAGACACCAAATGCATGATGATAGTTAAGAGCATTTTAAAAAAAAAAGTGGGGACATGATTTTCATTTTAGGATTAACCTGGAAATTGTTCTTATCAGTAAGTGATCTCATCAATTGGAACTCCTTTTGGTTGGTTTTTGTTTTGTTTCATTGTGCTAACACTATCCCAGTCATCTGGCCTAAAAATGCCAATCATACTTAGTTTCTCTATGTCACTTACACAATATCATGTCAGGATTTTTTTCCATTGTATTATATTAAATCTTCCATTTTCCCTGTCCTTCTACCTGAGTATAGGCCTTGAAACTGTTCTTCATGCCTGAACCATTTGTCAGCAACCACCTGTCTCCTCTCTGCTCACTGTCCATGGCATTCAAATTTCACCATGTTACACTGTTTCCTGAGACCTCTACTTTGCATGTAACAATGTATGAACTTTAATTTTAGGCTTGTTCTGGAAGTTGTTGTTCTTATCAATAAGTGATCAATAATATCAGCACTACAAAACTCAAGAGACAAAAGAGTCAAAACTGATGGCAGACTGGGAGAATCTATAAGAAGCTCTACATTCCTAAAGCTATATAGAATTGACTAAAGATTACACTGTAGTGTAATTGGAGAATAGTGGCACCTTTTAATGAGAATTGAGCTTTAAGTGACTCTATAAATTATAAGATTACAGAGTCTACGTATTTCTGATTAACTATATTAATAAAAGGAAGTACCACCCCAGGCACTATTAATGTAATTCAAGTACAAACTGGCACATGGAGGAAAAGGCTGTACAGGAACGAGTTCAGGAAGACAGATATGAAACAACATTGACCATGCTAGCAACAATTTCAGCAGAGTAAAAATTATCACTGATTCTTCAGTGAAAAGAGATGTAAAATTATTATCAGAAGTTTATTTTTAAAATAGACATATAAATCATATGCTGTTTATATTTCCCTGTGAGCACAGTCAATTTTAGATGCTGCTTTTATTGCCAGTATGTAGTATTGAGATACCTGTTTTAAAGTATCATCATCTCAACTAAAAATTGCAATCAATACTCTGCTACCCAAAATATACACCAGGCAAACAGCAGATAATGCAATCTTACCAAGGCTTATTCCTAGTTCCTTATGTAAATTTCAGATTATGTGTTTATATACACTAACTTCATTGATACTTAAAAGTATTGAGTAAAGTAGAATTTTTCATTTCATTTAGAGATGACACAAAGACTTCCAAAATGTTAACTGGCTTGCTCAAGACCAGTAACCATATTCCTGACTCTCTCACAATGCCTTATGAAGAGACTGAATTGGCCCCTCTAGAGGGAAAGCCATCACGTGGGTGCCAGGCCTCAGGTCTCTGAGAACAGAAATGGTGCCAAAATAGGAAGAGCCTAGACCTTTCTCAAATTTGCATTAAAGAAACCAAGATAAGTCAGTCCAACCAAAGAGTAGAAATAAGGAGGGGGAGTGGGGCAGGGAGAAGACGAAACTAAGGCTCAGGAAACCAACCAAACAGGAGCAGGCCCAATGTTCCCAGGCAATTGCTGTAAGAAGAGATCAAGTATGAATGGCTTTGGTGTCTTAAAGATGTAGAGATTTCTTTGGGGGAGAATATTAAAACATGAATAAGTTATAAAAGTAAGTAAGATTCAATGTCTAATCTGAATTTACACTTTCTATTTTTTCATTCTCTCATTCCAATATAGCTCAGGTTTAATCTATCTGTAGTTGTAGAAAGAAAGAGCTTAGCTCTGAAGACATCCAAGTAAGGGTCCATTGAGTAATCATCCATCGTTACTCTTAAGAAATCTGGCCTTCAAATATTGACAGAACCTACTTGTTTAATTCCTATCTTAGCTTATTTCAGAGTCACAGTGTTTCTGTTATAAATTAAAGAATTCTTAGGAATTAAAAACTTCATCATTTTTGTCTATTGGGTTGGTTTTAGAAACCAGTATTTCTAGAGAAACAAAATTAGACAGAATGGCTTTCTAGATCCATGTCAGTTTGGTTTTAATAAGGAGACTTTTATTAAAAATAATTCCTGAATACCTGACCTACCCATATTCAAGTATAAGTAGAAAATAAATCTATTTCCACACTTATTCAGGATGATGTTCAGGTTATTCACACTTGAGACATAATTACCTTTTCTATATTATAGCAATAATTATAAGTGGGTTATAGTAAAATATAATTGAATGTCCATAAGCTAATATTATAATGGCTATGCTCTAAGGCTTCAGCAACCTCAAGTAATTTCTTAGGGCCTACAGACATGGACTAGCAGCAGGGCCATGATCTCTACAGTAGATAAGCAAGGTCTGGGTGGGAACCATCTGAATCTAATTTCACAACTCTTTCACAACTGTCATTTTTATAAGCCTCACATTTTATTTAAATGGAAAAAGTTACTGCATGGCTTTTGACTGTTAAGTGATTTTGGAAGTGCCCATAAATCTTTATGAAATCCAATTTGTTTCCAGCTTGTTAATAGTTTAAAGAATGGGTAAAAAGGGTTTTCATAGCTCCATAGAAAAAAAAATTCATGGAATCAAATTAAATTTTGGTGGCTTAAATGAAATGAATATTTGTTATGAGATCCATGATGGTATTGACAATAGATAGTGCCAATGGGTAGTTTTGCATTTTTGCAACTTTAAGTTCCCTAAATGGTATACAAAATAAAAGCCATACAGCAGAATGAGGATGGGGCAGGACTAAACTTTTCCCACTGTCCGGACTGCTTTTCTAAACCAGACTATCAAAAGGAGCAGGCATTTTTTAAGCCCTCAGAACTGTCTTTAGCAAAAAAAAAAAAAAAAAAAAAAACCCTCCCAGATTTCATAACCCTATTTGATAATCTTTCACAGACAGAAATCCCAAATGTGTTTTGACTCCAAAGAAGAGGAATGCCTTATTTTCCATGAAAGAACTCAGTTAAGAAGCCGAGAATATTGTTTGAAGTGAGATGATAGTCTGACTTGTAAACGACATCAAAAGGTGTCCTGTATGGGAATTGAACTGAAGAAACACTTCTCTGAGGGTAAGCCTTGGTATTTTATGTCCTTCTGTATTTGTAACTTAGATGCCTTTTAACAGATAAAATCTGGCCTCTCTTCTTCTGGAACCTCCCAGACCACTTATCAGTGCCTGAAACCTCAGGACTGATCTGTCACTTGGAGGATCCCCCATTGTAACAAGAATGGCTCTGATATCCTCCCATTTGCCTGTGCTGTGAGTGCTGTCCAGTCTACCAGAGGTATTTTATTTCTAAACTGCTTTGTCTCCATAAACACATTCTAGGCTTCAGCAAGTAAAGTACAGTTAAGTTCCATTTTCTTTGAATTTATCCATGCCTGTATGTTCATTCTTTCTCTCAGTGATTACCCACTGACACCCATCCTTTCCTGGGCACCATGCTTCAAGCTATAAATGCAAACTATACAGGATCCTACACTCAAGGAAATCACTGCATATATACATGAAGTTCATGTAAAATGAACAAAAGTTACATTTAAAAAAAATACAACATTCCATGTAGGAATAAAGAAAGCAGTGGTCAGTTATGGGAGCCAAAAGTTTTATCCAAGGGGAGAAACTTAAGTTGGATCTTTGAGCATGAATAGGTGCTTAACAGGTAAGCAGACATGGTGGAGCACTAAAGGGCATGAAATCTCATGGTACATTTAGAAAAGTGTATACATTTGGCATGGATCATGTATTTCTTGCATTAAATTATGGGTGGCAATTTAGTAACACCTTTAATTGAAAAACTGTAAAGAAGAGGAGCAGATATCCACGGAAAGATAGGTGGGGTTGATAGGCTTGAGTTTGAATTTTCCAGGAGGCATCCATGTGCATATGTTCCAGAAACAATAGTATTTACTGTCTGAGAACTCAGGAGGGAGGCATGTGCTAAAGATATTATTTTGGTAGCTCCACTAACATTTAGGTGGATGGGAGAAAACATGTGGAAGGAGAATTGAGAGGACCAGGGAAAGAATCTGGAGAATCTGGAAGGACACCAAAGTTTGGCTCAGACAGAGGAAAAGCCACCCATAATTTGATACAAGAAAAACTCATTAGAGGTAAGAGAACCAAGGAAAAGTCTCTGAAAACTAAGAGTAGAGTCAGAATAAGAAAATGACTGCATGCAATATGTGATTAATAGGCTAAGCATAGTAGGAATTTAGTAATTAGGGGTTCTTTGAGGATATAAGCTATGTAAGGCCTAAAGTGTGTAGGGAAAATGAGCAAGAAATATGAGTCTTGGCAATGACCCTGTCTGCTCTGTCCAAGAGAGGGGCCGGAAGGAGGGCTCTCTCAGATCTCACAGGCTTATTCTCCGGACCAACATTAAAACCAAAAATAAGTCCTGGGAAAGGAAGTCTCCTCTCCATAAGGATTATTTCTCCATATAGCTGCTTTCCCCATTTCCTTATTCACCCTTTTCTGCCAGCAGATAAGACCAGCATGTCTCCTCTTCTTCTCCTATTACTACCAAATACCAAGCCCTCTCACCAATCCCCTCTCTACCAGCTTCAGTCATTTCTTAGATCCTTCTTGCTTCATCCTTAGATGACACCTGACTATGAACAGTTTCACTGCCCAAAATTCCTGCTACTCAGACTCTGAATTTTGGAAAAGATGATTCTTTAGAGGAGGTGATGGACGTAGGTATCTTGTTGTTAATTGAGATGATACCCATATTAAGGAGTATTTGATAAGGCAGGGAAGCAACAGAGTCAGCAAGACATGGGAAGGTCAAGTCGTAGGCTCAATAGGGAAAGAATGAGGACAGCCAAGCAGATGGTGGTATTTGAACAGAACATGACAGCCCCTATAATCAGACTCTCAATCTTCCTGGTGCCACTGTCCCTGTGTCATGGTGCTGGGATGAGTAATCAGCATGTGATTGTGTTGCTTACATTTTAGGTAAGGGATGGAAAGGTCCATCTCTGAGAAGATCAGAAGGTCTGGAAATTTTAAGTGCGCTTCCAACACCCATGTGATCTATTGATATGTTTGAGAGCACTGAGAGCATGGTGAGTTTTGGACATACTTGGGGATTTTTGAGAAACTTGATTCAAATATATAGTAGAAACATTTCAAAGGGATGAACTAAAATCTTCTAATAAAGTGGGGATCTTGTTCTTGAGAACCCCACTGGACAAAGACATGGCTTTTTTTGCATTTTTGTTAATTGGCAAAACAGACTTGGAGCCAAGGCAGCTTTGCTGTCAACTAGGATGTAGAGTGACTATTAAACACACACAAACCCACGCACACACAACATGCTTTGTAAGCTGGTGTCCTTTTAAAGTGATTAAAAAGTAGATAAATTGTGGAATTAGTTATCTATTAATATTTGTATATAAGATTTGCACAAAAAATAGAACACAAGCATTGCACTCTAAACAGTATTTTTAGTTAGTTGTAGATCATAAATTTTAAGTGGGTTCTGAGTAAAAGGGGGTGAGCTGAAATTTCAGGAATAGGTTCTTAGGAAAACCCACTGGGTACCACCAGGTAGAGTCAAAACAGTCCTCAGTGACAGCAAAACACCTAGAGGATGTCTTCTAAGTGTTTCTCAAACTTTACCATGTATATGAACCATTTGGAGATCTTATTGAAATGCAAACTCTGAGTAGGTCTGGGGTGGGGGCCGTGATTTTGCATTTCTGACAGGTGCCTAGGTGATGCCCTACCTGATAGGCTATGGATCACACTTGAAGAGTACAGTTTTAAGACAGCACTCTTAGTTGAGTTTCATTAGACAGTTACCCTAGTAAAGTATAAAGCCTATTGTCAGAAATGCCAGAAAAAAAAAATCTGAACTGAGCAGCTAAGTATAAATCATTCTTTTCTGTGGTTAAGAAATTAAATTAGACTATGTAATGAAAATCTATTTTGACATTTAGTTATAAGCCATATTAATCTTTTTTTTATGATGAGATAAAATTTCACAGTATGCCATCTTTTACTACCGGAATCAATGAATTGTTGGAAATCATGTCTCTCAGTCTGGATATTGTCGTGGTAAAATTTCTAGTGTGTTTCACACTTTTAAATTAAATTAAATGCTTCTTTTTTCTTAATACCACCAAACTAAACTATTTGTAGAAGACTTTTATCTGTTTCTTTCCTTCCTTCCTTCTTTTATTCCTTCCTTCCTTCCAGAAGGAGAAGGCTGAGGAGAAAAAGAAGAAGAAGGAGAGAAGGAGAAAAGGAGGTGACAGGAGGAGAGGGTAGCAGCTTCCATAGTAACTCAAGTTCATAATGAGTTTAATTAATAATAAAAGGGGAAAATACAGGAAGCAATTTTCTAGCTGTATCTTTACTAGGACTTTGATTTTTAAAAGCCCTCTAATTCTTGATAATGAATAAGATTTCTGATAATTCTAATCTTAACATCAAACGTTTACTTTGGTGGATTCTCCCAAGTAGTTGATCTTTTTTCATCACAGAAAGCTTTATCACCTAAATCTTTAGATGTTGGCAGCCTGCTGTGAACTCTCTAAGCACATCACTGATGCACCATGATTTTGAAGAATATTATTTGATTCTATAAAACCATTCCTTTGTCCAGTGTTACCATATGGTGTTCTGAAGAGGATAGTTCTGTGAACCAGGTTATTATTATTTTGCAAGTGGGAGTTCTGTGGTCATATAAGTTTGGAAAAATTTAGGTATCTGGGTTCTCTCTTGGACATCCATAGATCACATTAATATTTGAAAATTTCTGAAAATAAAAGTGCTGCACTCTATTTATCACAGCACTTCTCAAATTTGTTTGTCCACAGAGTACATTTGGGGGAATGTCTGCTTTTTTCACTTGTGGGAGAAGGTAGCTTTTTCCAAATTGGTCAAGCTTTTGGTTTAGCGGTGAGATAGACAGAATGACTCCCCTCCTATCATCAGAAAAAGAAAACCTTTGCAAAAGTATCCCCAGCTGGCTTTCTCTGAGACATATTTTTGGACAATCAGGACATGCTGAGCTATATGGAATGCCAAGCAGGGGAATGGGTAAAAAGAGAAAGGGGAGTCAGGATGCAATTGGAGCAGAACCTTATCTGGTGGAGCTGAGGCACCAGATAATATTGGAACAATGATAGAAGGAAAGAGGGAAAGGCTTCTGAGAAGCAACTCACAGTGCCTATAGACTTGCAAAATGAAGGAATCTACTGCTTTCACTACTTTGGTATGGCTTCAGTCATGAAATTAAATTTCTGCAAAACCAATTTTACTGATGCTTTCATTCTTGTCCCCTTTCATTCTTGTTCAGTCCTCCACACAGCTGCTGAGATGAACCATTTGAAAGCATAAGTCAAGTTAGGTTACTTCCATACCCAAGCCCTTCCAATGTCTTGCCATTTCATTTAGCATAACTTCCATCCCCTTTATTATGAGGAACAGGCTCTGTGGATTTTTGCAACCACAACTCATGCCTTATTTGCTTTGTTCTAGGTCTGGTTTCTTTCTGTTCCTCCAAACTACCAAGCTTTTCTTTTCTTTTTCCTTTTTTTTTTAAACCTTGTGCTCTCAGCACTTTTCATTTTTTTTGTCCAGAAATTTTGTTTCTTTAGATTTTCACATTATTTTCTCTTTATTCCCTGCACATGCCACTTCTTATAGACAACCTCTCTGATCAGGCTAAGGCACCTGCTTTCTTTTCATCATATGCTCATTTTTGTCAGATAGTTTTATACTTTCTTTTCTGTCACCTGCACTAAAATATTAAAACATGAGTTGGTCTCGTTTGGCTCTGGGCACAATGGGGCACACCTATAATCCCAGTAGCTCAGGAGGCTGAAGCAGGAGGATCATGAGTTTAAAGCAGCCTCAACAACTTACTGAGACCGAAGCAACTTAGTAATACCCTGTCTCTAAATAAAATATAAAAAAGGGATGGGATGTGGCTCATTGGTTAAGTCCCCTGGGTTCAATCCCTAGTGCCAAAAACAAACAAACAAAAAATAAAACCTTATTGACATGTTCCATTTCATTTAAACCTGAAGATGAGACTGAATTCATCAAACATTGTCAAAACTAAATAAATTGCATTTATATAAAGCTTGATTTTAAAGTTCTATGCATTCAAACCTACTTGAGACTCTATCTAGGCCCTCTGCTGACACCAGTATCTATATCACTATCATGTTAGATATTGGAATTAGAGAGGGGTTTTTTAATCAATATAAATGATAGCACACTTTAAAATATTAGAAAGGACCAATTCTTAAAGAATATCACAAATTCAAGTGGACAAAGAAATACCTCTTGATTAGACAGAGTCTAAGATGCCTTCCAGCTTCTGGGTTTTTGAATTCCAGTTTTCTTTCCACTTACTAAAAAGTGATACATCATTTAGCATTCAAATTCTATTTAAAGGAAACTTCCTTAGAAATACCCTCTAAGAAATTAAAATTCAACTCTAGATTATTCATACTTACCATAAAATTTTGTATGGGTTGTATATTGTTTTACATATAAAGAATCTAATTTTTCTTATATGTAAGAACATGTTGAGTGTAGATGATATTATTAGATCTTAACACTTAGCCTGATTTCTGTTCTGTTTTTAAAGCTTATTGCTTATCTATCATACTTTGTCTATTATTCTATATATCAAATTCAAGGAACAAGATTTATATTAGAAGTTAGATTAAAAACGTGGAACTAATTAAAGACATTCAGTTTTAACTTATGGCCTTAGTCCCAGAAATTTTATATTAGCCATGTAAAGCCTTCTGAGCTACTAGAAAAATTGGATTCAAATTAAAATGAGAGGTTATTTTTCAAAATGCTTTGTAGTTTTGTCAGTGGCCTGATGAGAAATGTTCAAGTAAAATTTGCACCATTAATAATGCTTTATACGTAATCACTGTAGTCTCAGGTTCAGATCTGTTTGTAGATTCTGCTACAGATTATCTTTTGGGGGAAGAGTTTAGACAATATATTTTTTTTTTTATTCCAAGGATGGGCACCACACAGTCTTCTTTTGGATAGTAGACACAGAAATGTTTAATAAGCTGGAACTGGCTAAGAAGTGACTGTAGCAGGAGCTGCTGGCTGTTAACCAACAGTGATTCTCCATTATTCCCAGGTACTACAGGTACTACCACCACTCCATTACTCCCAGGTACTCATTTAACATTCAAATTCTATTTAAAGGAAAATTCCTTAGAAATACCCTCTAACAAATTAAAATTCAACTCTAAATTATTCATGCTTACCTGAAAATTTTGTATGGGTTGTATATTGTTTTACACATAAAGAACCCAAACTAATTTTTCTTATATGTAAGAACATTTTAAGTATAGATGATATTGTTAGATTTTATATGATCTAACAATTGATGATATTTCTAAAGAAGTTTCATTTAAATAGAATTTGAATGTTAAATGATACCTGTGATACATGCCTCTTCCACTCCTAGGACTTAAAACATTGGGCATTTGTTCTTTGATGCTCTTGACCTCCTCCCCTGAACTGGAATAAATTCTATTTAAAGGAACTTCTTTTGAAAACATTCCTTACAGAGATAAGAAAAATAACCCAGATGATGATGGAAAAAGAAAATGGATAAGACTTGGATTTCTGAATGACCATGTGGAACACAGCAGCCTGCCTACTTGTTCTGGATTGATTTGTGGAATAGAAGTAAATCAATTTTAAAGCTACTCTATTGTTAAGACTCACTGGGATCACATTTTAGCAGCTTTGCCTTTTTATTAAATGGCATTGGGCCTCTTCCGTAAACTCCTACTCCACTTTCACGTTCTCCTCCCATCCTGGTACCTGCTCATTCACTAGGCACCTGGGAAGCTACCTGAGTGAGTGTCTGTTCTGGATTCTTTTCCTTATGTTCTCTGCCTGTTTCTTTTTTTTTTTTTTTTCCCAAGTCTCAAGTCTCAGTACACTTATATTTAGCTATCTGGCTCTTTCAAATGGCTCCAATTAATTCAGTCTTTTTTTTTTTTTTTTAAATGCTTAGAGACCACTTCTTCTCCTACAGGCCCTCATTTCCCCTGAGAGTGGTGACTTAATCTAAATGAATGGATTTTTTTTTTTTTTTTTTTTTTATTGGCAGCTGAAGCCGAAGCCCACAGATCATGACACTATCTGTCCAATGTATTATATAAAGCTAGGCATCCTCTTCTGTATGAAAAAGAACCTTTTTCCTTTCGGATTCCCCGGCTAGAGCAGGGCTCAGTCTCCCCTAAAAGAGAAAGAATTAAAAAAAAAAAAAGAGAAACTAGGGTTTTCGGCTTTTTTATTTTTTCTTTGCCATTATTTCTCTGGTTTAATAGAAAGTATGAGATCATTCCAATTTTTAATCTGAAAAACATAGGCTTAATTTATCATTTCAAACAGTCATGAAGTAAATACCTATTGGTTCCTATCCACTATCTGTAAGTAAATTTAACTAAGGAGATTCTGCAACTTACCTTAGGTTTTATAGTTTTCCATTTATTCATTTCAACAAATTTGAAGATGAACGTTTCTAAGTACTGCCTTAGATTTTTCAACTTAATCTGTCTTTGTGAGTTTGGAAATGAAAGAAATTGTAGATGGCTTGTTCAAAGAAAGTTCATTTTCTCTCAACCTCCTGACTTATAAACCAGAGAATAGCAGGTGCTCATTCCACAGGTCATCCTGCGTGAAGCACTCTAGAGCTTTCCACATCCCGATGCAGCTCTTTAGGGGGACATGAGGTAACTACTGGGTCATGGTCAACAAACAAAGAGGATTCAAAGAATAGAATACCAGTGCTTTTGTTACAATTTCAGTAGGTATTGTTTTGTGAAGCTTTAGTTACAGTTGTTTATGAATGTGAGTATGTGTGAATAGTTGTTCTTGATACAAAATGTCTTACTATTAAAAATAAAGTCTTGAAAAACTTTGCTTTAGTTCACCTCATTTTGGAAACAGGGTTGCTCCTCTTTGTGGGTAACTGCCCATTGTCTTAGCATCATTGAACCAAGTCTCCTGACTTAATCTCTAAGCCCTTTAATGTCATAGAATCATAAACTATACATTTATGTATCAGGGATTCAGGGCTAAAGCCTTCTTTTTACAAAATTACTGAATTCTCTCTGATTTTGTAAAAATAAATCCCCAAGTCTCAACACTGCTGCAGACTGCATAAGAACACTATGTTGACAAAGAAAAAGAAAATGTCCCCTCAATGTAAGTTTGTTCTTGGTCACTAAGTGAATTTAACACATGGATTAAACATGTGGCTCTCTAATTTTAAATCACCTTAATCATAGACAATCCCATGCTATAACTTTTTAAAGTACCAAACAGATCCTTCCTGGGAAAGGATAATACAATTTAACAGCTTAGAAGATAGGATTATTTATTTCAATAAAATAACTTTCTCAGCTTCAGCTTCGGGTCTGTTTGTAGATTCTGCTACAGATTATCTTTTGGGGGAAGAGTTTAGGAAATAATTTTTCTTTATTCTAAGTAAAAAAAAATAGGTTTTATTTGTTGGAACTCAAATATCTTGAGTAAAATTATTTGCATATTACATTTAGGTTTTAGATTTCCATGCATAGTATTGTTCTTATTCCAGATGAAATTACTTATAGCTAGGTGCATTTATTTAATTGTTATACATATTAAAATGTATAAAACATTCACCAACACACTCAAAAACATAAATCAAAGGAAAGGAGAAACTCCTGACTGATTGCCTTAGTTAAAAATACTGACACACTAGTTTGTCTTATGAATGATCATATCCAGTAGCTGAACTAATAATCTGCATCCCTGTCTATTCTACAATGAGGAGAAAAATCTGAGCACAAACATGATTGAATTAACAGAGGAAAATATTTATAATGTTTGGAAAAGTGATTTAACTTTTTAACTCTCAAATATTCTCTCTTTTTTGTTTTTTTAGAAATCCATTCTCTGAGAATAACCTGTAAATTCATTCATTTGCTGAAAAGTAGCAATTTAAGATAAAATATCAAAACTTGAGTCTTAAGAATTGGTTAATTTAATTTATTCTAAAATCGTAATCTTAGTTCTTGAAATTGAGAGCTAATTACTGAGGATTTGAAAGTTTTATCGAACTGTTCTCCCTTTTCCCTATATAATACTATTGAAAAATGGTTCTCAAATAATGTATAAACTTTACATATTCACTAAAACTTCACCACAATATATATGAGTTGAAGACACTGAATAGGCACAAAAAGTATTTGAAATTTGCAAATATAAAAGAGTATATTTTTTCAGGCTCCTGTAATATAAAATTGATGATCTCTCACATAGGGCCTAGGGTGCAGTTTATCTTTTCACATTACCTTTTGAGGGGATGGAAAGGAAGAGAGGGGGAAAAGCAAGGCTGGAGGGAAAGCAGCTTGTTAAGCAAATGAATGAGCACACTGGAGGAGGGCTGTTTTCAAGCACTGGATAAGTGTACAAACACTATAATTGTCACACAAACAAAGGCTTCCCTGCTTGCTCTGCCTGCCCTTTGATATGGAAACCACAAATCGCTTCATCTTTTAATAAAACAGGATCTCTAGACAGTAGCCCTTGGGGTCCTGCTGGGTTATAGAGTAAATACTTCTACTTTTTCACACACTGCTTTCCTTCTAATAAATTTGGATCAGAGGAGGTTTTTAGTGCTTTGGCCTTCTTTACAAAGCACCAAGGAGATTTTTAGTGCATTGGCCTCCCCACCTGGTAGATCATTGAATCGGTGAGGGTTTGGTGGGTGGATAAGTGGAAGAAATTTCCAAGAATGTAGATTTTTTTTTTCTTTCCCTAAAAACATTTCTTAAGTTTGCTTCTGAACTTTGAAAGACATTTTTTTGAGTTAGCATTTTCTTGTTATTTTAAGATGTAAGCAGTGGTATATCCAGGAGCTGTCAGTTCAGTTATGCTCAGTAATTTTGTGGTATTCTCGTATTCTCCAAAATAGATTCGAACAAAGCCAATTTACCCCCTTGGAAAGACTAGCCTTGGTGATCTGACAGCAGACTGAGTCCCAAGTATTCCAAGGCTCAAGAAACATCAATCATCAGCCCAAGGAACATATTTAGCAAACAAAAATTTTCTATTAAAAGACAGGTTTCAGTGTATCAATAAAGATCCTGCCAGGAAACAACATGGCACACTCAAAATGGGTAATTGAAGAGAATTTGATCAAAGCACTATTTAAAGGTGTGAGGTCAGGGTTATAGGTAGCTAAAAAGGGGTGGTGAGACTCCAGTATTATCCCCAGATTTAAAGAGCAAGGCAAGGAAGCAGTTACTGGTCCCAAAGAGAATGTTGACATCACTGCTGGACAGCTACCCAACAGGAGCAGTAACTACTGAGGAACCAAGCTGCCCCACAGCCCAAGGTCGGCCAGAGGATAAAATCCCCGCGCCCTCCCCCAGTTCTTCTCCACTTGAAAATCTTCTGCCAGGGCCTCCCAATGGCTAAGATTCAACCAGAAGTCTAAAGATGGGGATGCATTTAAGATAGCCTGTGGAAGCTGGCCTCTTGACAGCCAGAGTAGAATGGAGGTGAAAGCAGGATGGGTCTGGAGGAGCAAAGACTGTCCAATACATTTGCATTTCCTAAAAGTTAAACTTGAGAGCATTTTGTAAAAGAAAATGCCCTGAATAAAAGCTTATGGAGGGCAGTGTCAAGTGTTTCTGAAGGGGTGCTTGTGACATCTTTTTAGTTTATCAATTAGTCCAATTTCTTTAAAAAGGTAGGACATCACCATCCTGAAAATATAGAATATATTTTAATCCCTGAAAAATCAACCTCACTTTCTCCTTCTTCCCAACCCACTTGCTCAAGGTATAATAACATGACTGAGAAGATTGGTCATGAAATAGGTCAATTGATTAGCATTCAGAGACCGATTTGAGTCCTTCATTCACCTAAATATTCCACCAGCTCCAAGACTCCAGGTTCAATAATTTCCTTAAATAAACCCTTCTCACATGAACTGGGGTTGGGAGTGAAGTTGGGAACAGTTCAAAGAGGGGATTAAATACTGACTCCCAGGATTTACCAGTCAATACAATGTCTTCTTTAAAAAAATGCATTCCCATCTTAGTAGAGTAATATCATCTTTAATAATAATTCTGACAGTAGTTCTCTTTGGGTGCTCTACATTTGCATAGAACTTCTTATTTAACACTGATAACAATCTTATGAGGTGGACTAGCCAAATTTTATTAAGTCTAGTTTTACAAATGAGGATACTGGGTCACACAGAGCTTAATGACAGTCCCATCTCACCTAACTCAATGCCTGACTAGTGATCAAAGTTAAATGTGGTATGAAATAAAATCTGGTTTCTACCTGCCCTATACACAGTATTTCTCATAGAATTATAACCTTTGAAGGTTTTTAAAATCAGGACTTCCCCAAACCTCACTGAGGTAAGTCAATATCCCTGTCCCATTCTTAAAAGTGAAAGCAGCTGCATTTGTGAGAGTAAGAAAATGTACTCACAGTGGATTTGGTTAAAAAGAAAACCTCATTTGTGTAGATTCCTTACATCAGATGAGTTTTACTTCTGATTATGGATTCATAGCATTTGCCATTTTTAAGATTCGTATAATTTAGCTAAACAATTAAAAAAGGATCCACGTGCTTTTTATATCTCAATATAGTAAAAAATGCATTCAGGTTAATACTCACTTTTCCAATTTCT